ATTTCCTTTCCCTCCCCCCCCCCCCCCCCCAATCACCAAAGAACATCATAAAACTCAAAGAAAGTATATATGTGGCACTATGGCCTAAGCATTTGCAACAACAACATATCCCATGTAATCGTACAAGTGGGGTTTGGGGAGTGTATGTGGAGTAGAGAGGTTGTTTCTGAAAGACCCTCGACTCAAAAGAAAAGGTTCACATTTGCAATGTGAATCAAAAATTGAACTGCTTACAAGTTTTTAAGCAGGCAGTGGGAACTATGCTAGATAATAACTTATGGCACGACAATTGGATTAAAATCTGAAGCCCCTAAAGGAACATCATCTACAGATTTGATCCACAAGTTAAGATATATGTCAGTTTGGCCTGATACTACAACTACCATTCAGTTCCAAACAACGTAGCAATGGGGTTGGTTATATGAATCCTCATTGATCATATTACACAATACAAACTCATCTCAAGCCAATACGATACAAAATAATAATAAAATATTCAAAACTGTAGAGTTTATTTTACAATAGGTTGGGATAATTTTATTCTTCTCACTTCAAAATGACTCCAAATCTTGAAAATCAATCGTCTTTATGACGATCTTGATCTTGATGAGCTGATTTTGGAAGGTGAAGTATTGATCCCAATCGAGTTAGATTAACATAATCCATAGTAGTATGAGCTGATAACCCTGGAATCACCAACCCTACCATCCTAAACATTGTCTGGAACCAGTCTTCTCTGTAATGACTGCCTTTTGTCCAAGGGAGGATGAACCCCCTAATAAACTCATACACTGCAATCAGCAACATGGGAAAAAACCACAGCACAGAGAAGTAGTTCTTGTTTGGTTCTTCCTCCACCACCTGCATAAGGTAAATAATTAATCTTTGCTAGTGAGGGGTTACAAGTACCAGGTGGAATAATCAAGGTGAGCGCAAACTGACTCTGTAATAAAGGTGTAATCCAAATTTATGAGAAACTTTACCTTGCCATTATAGAAGCTGTTATAGTAGAGACATGATCCAAAATGCTTGAAAAAGGTTGTATCATCATATGGCAACCTAGGAACCATGTCATTTGAATAAACATGTCTATAATACTTAACATCATACTTACTGAACTTATCCTTCATGAAGTTCCCAAATTGTGGATCCCCAACTCTAGGCTGTCCAAATGTGTAAACTCCTTCTAATCTATCCAACAGCCATTCCTCTTCATGCAAAGTCAATATAGCTGCAAATAAAATTGCTAATGCTCCTCCTAAACTATGTCCTGTCAATATAAACTTTGCCTTCTCATTTTTGCTCAGTATCATTTTCAGTTCTTTTCTAATTTGATAATATGCAAATAGTTTTTGGTCTGGGCTTTCATCAATTTCTTTGGGCCATCCTTTGTTCTTTTGTAAGCCCAATGCTTTCATAAATCCAGCATGTAGCTTACCTACACCTTCAAGCTCATACCATGAAAGGTCCACATCTGTGATCCAGTGGTCTGCATTGTATGGGATGGTCCCTCTAAATGCCACCACAACTAGGTTTGAATCTTCAACTTTGTCTTGGAACATAATGGCTTGTGTGGTGTTTACTTCCTGGTAAGCTGCATATCGACACAATATCGAGTATAAATCATGAATCGTGATGAACCTGATTTTGATATAACTATAAGAAATGAACCTTTGGTTTAAGTCATTCCCAAAATCTAGCTAATGAGGTGAGGATGTAACGAGATCATGTAAAGAGAAAAAATAACCACCCTATCACTTATTGATTATTTTTGTCTTTAAAATTATGATAATATAAAGTACTTCAGAAAGCAAGATATGGGGTCCTTGTAAATCTTCAAAATATCTTTTTAGGAAGTTTCCTCAATGAAAAACGTTTGATACTCATAATTAAAAATAATAAAAAGATCTTAGAAATCTGGTTAAATATTAAAGAAAGAAGGCTCTGAACTTACCATTCCAAAAGCTGTAAAATTTTATGAAGTCCATCTGCAAAACAAAAATAAAATTTATATACTCATTTATCTTTCGAAATTATGAATTAATATTCCAAAAGTTTAGTATATAATATATGTATATCGACTAGCAATTATAAATAATATATTACCTGCCAATTATGTGTGATAACTTTCTTGGTGAAGGCTTCATTTTCATAGGATAATTTAGCAGCCATAATAGCTAGTGAAGGACCATAGTAGTTGTCACCCACATTTTTAGTCTTGTCTAAGTCAACCCTCCAATCAAGTTGTCCGATCATCGACATAAAATTCTCCGATTTCATATCCGGTCTTATTACCTCTCCTGCAACGAATCATAATTATATAACTAAAAGTTTTCCTTAAATACAAGTCAATAAACATGTTCTTCATTTTCTCACTTTATTAATTTATTTTCTTATTCAAGATTTAGTTCAATCCCTATCCCAATTTTTTTTCAAGAAAATAGAAAAACAACAATTGTGCCTCAATCTCAAATAAATTGATCGAGTCAACTATATGAACCCTAATTGTTAGTATTACATGAGCTTGCTCATATTGCTGATCTCAAAATCAAATAAAAATTTCGTTATAGATTAATAATCGTAAAATTAACCAACAAGAACATCCATAGAAAATTCGCCTTCTTTTAGTAGTGAATTTTAGATGAATCCTCAAACAACAACAATAACATACTCAGTAAAATCCCACAAAGTAGGATCTAAGTAGGATAGAGTATACATAGACGTTACTACTATCTCTTCAACATACAAATACTGTTTCCGAAAGACTTTCGACTTACTCAAGCAAATGAAATACAAAAAGAAGCAAAACATAATGAAAACTAGATCAAATTTACCTAGGATTATGTTGAAGAAAAGCTTGAGAAGACCACCATTACATGAAGGATAATTCAACAAGAGCTCAACTTTAGAACCTATAATGTTCATTGGCTTTCTCACAGAAAGTAAGAATCTCTGCATAGAGACAGAAACAAAAACGATCCATCGTCGTTGAATACCTCGTATCTTGTCTGTTCCTTCAGGAGCATCCAGAAATTTCTTTTTTTCTAATTCACATGAATAAAATATCCTAAATAAATCATAACAACTAGCTTCTTCTGCCTTCAATTCCAAATAATCTTTACAGAATTCTTTGTTGCAACCCATGGAGTAGTACTTAATTAATGTCAATTGTTTCACACTGTCAAAAAACTTTATTTAATTCTTAATATATAGTAAGCTCACACTAAGCATATGACATATTTTATTGTTGATTTTCGTGTCCGATAAGGATCCGATTAAATTAAGATTCACGCATTGCAGGATCCAATTTCTGAGGGTCCGCTCCTAGTAGGATATTTTTCTTTTCCATTCACAAGTGTTCGAACTTGAAATCTCTAGATAAGGGTGGGGGATCATGAACCATCCCACCATAACCTGTATTTTATTATCTCTCCGTTTCAATTTGTTTGACCTATTTTAACTTGACACGGAGTTTATCAAAATAAAAAAAGACTTTTGAATCTTGTATTCTTAAATTAAAGATATGTGAAATCTATCTAAATTCCTTTTAATCTTGTGGTTTTAAAGATGACGTGTGAAAAATTAAAATTAAAGAGTTGATAAAAAGAACAAACAATAATAATTTTTATGTTTGCTATATGTGAAAGTTGCTCAAAAGAAAAAGTTCAACCATTAATAATTATTACTTTAATTCAATAATTAGTAGTTTAGTACCCATATTATGTGCCTGTCAAATATTTTTTATCTGGAAAAGGTGTATCTCGTGTTACTTAGAAAATTCATTTTTTAAAAAAGAAAATCAAACAATTATAGAGGGAAATCAACTGTTCTTCAATTTGTCAATATTATTCTTATTCGTTAATTTATCATTTCTTAAGAAAAATTCCATTCACTAATTAACCAAACACCAAAAGAAGATATTTTTTTCATGATAATTATATTTTAAGAAACCATCTAATTCTCACACGGCACGACTCATTCACCAATTAACCAAACATAAAAATAATAATTAAAAAATTGCTAAAAAGATGTATATTATTAAGAAAATCGTGTAGATCATCTCACATAGTACAACTCGAACTGTTTCAGATTGACAATCTTGTTTATTTGTTGGATCGCAAAAAATGTTAAATATTTATTCGCACATCATGGTGTTTATATTATAATATAAATTTATAGTAGTTTAATAATTTAAATAAAGGTGACAATGTATGTTAATTAATAATAATAATTAAATGATAAAAGATTATGTAGGTTATATGTTAGAGAAAAATATTGAAATCACTTCTAAATTTGGTGTGAATTATTAGTCTTATTTTTGAATTATTGATAGTTTTAAAAATACTCTTTACCTTTATTAATTGCACTTAATATACCCCGATCTTGCAACATGAGTGATATATACCTCTAAATTCTAGCCAAGTTTAGAGTGTTTTCAACACTTCTCTCGACTTTTTATTAAGAGTCTCATGTTCCTACAAGAGTTTGAGACTACTTGCTATGTCATGTGGCAGATTGAGGGTATATCTAAGTTTCGTTACTTAAGTATAGGATATTTTTAAGGCGGTCAATAGTTTGAATACGAAACTAATTATTTTCACTAAGTTCAGAGATTAATACTAATTATTTATTTTTGGTTGAGCCACCGTTTGAGAATACTTTTGAAAATTTTGTAACATTAAAATATGACACGTTTTAATTGAGACTTTATATGAAGCGGTAAGTTTTCTGAATTAGAAAAGATAAAGAGGTTAATTGATAATCTATTTTTATCTGATTGAAAAATTATTTCGATTAATCATCGATTTAAAAGAAATGATATAAAGATTAATAGAAAAAAATTGAGATAGTGCTCTCCACGTCTTTTAACTACTTTACCAAAAAAATGATATTGAGATAGTGCGTGCTTTATGCTAGTTGTTTGGTTCATTTTTTAGATTAATTTATTTATTTTAAAAAGTGTTTTTTGAAAAAAATTATATTCGAGAATCGACTCATGGATTAGCCTGATCATTCATACCGTATAATAAAAGTACAAAGCTTTCTATTTGAAAAAAAGTTTAAATTGTTCAGACAAGAGATAACACAAACAACGACTATATAACGATTGGAATAGGTGAGCATTATGAAAGAAGTTACTACTTAATACTAACCTATCCTATAAATTCTCCTACTTCCTTACTATTGTATTTATTTATTTAATCTCACCTAATTATATAACCACAACTTTATATTTATTTTTGGTCAATTTCGTTGTTCATCGTCAATATTTTTCAGAGATCTTTATTTATTATATGAACTAGGAGAATCAAAAAAATTTAAATAAATATGTTCCATTTAGTGAGCTCAAAATGAAGCCCATTTTCGAAATTGAACATTTTGATATGGGTTTAGTGGACTCCACAACTAAATAAGCCCATCTTGTATCAATTATTAGGTTTTATTTCTTTCGGGATTCTATACCATGATCCACTTAATTTTCTCATTTTTCTTTGTGAAAATGGATTATGTTAATTGTTAAACACAACATATTTAAACAAATTAAAATAAAAGGATCGATTAAAAAGTTAATAATTTTTTATTGATTTGGTATAGTGGTGGCAAAATTTTCCCACAAAAATATGACCTGTCCAGCTCAATTAACTTACCCATTTATTAACTAAGTCAAATATGATCCTTCCAAATTCAACTCATCTAAAAGTAGGGCTAATTTGGGCCAAGTATTTTGCCTAACGCATGAAAACTATTGTCAAAATGTTTAAATAATTTATTTATTTGATATGTTATATATAGCTCTAAATTATAATGAAGAAGAAGAAGAAGAATTTGTATTCGTTTTGTTTGGTAATTAATAAAATAGTAAGAAAACAAACAAACAATTTTAAATTTTTATAAAAGTTGAACGAATTGAGTTATAATCTATTGTGTAGTGTATCTTGACCCGATCAACCTCATCCTATCTAACCATAGTACATAATTGAGTGATTTCCATTTACATCCCCCCTAAAATGGATCCAATGACAATTTTGAGAAAATGAATTACTTATTTTATTTTTCATATTATATTAAAAATACATAATGTAGACAAAAAAATTCTATAATTTTAAATTATTAAATTTGTAGGACTTTAGAAGATTTTAATAGCGATGGAAGCGGAGCGAATACGTTGCACTTAGCACAAGGGACAAACATAGAATTTAGGACTTTGTTTGGATGCATCAGTTGTCCTTTTCAATGTTTTAAACAAATTAGGCCCATTTAGTTCTAACCCGACCGACCCACTTACCCCATTGATTATTTTTTTAGTTTCATGAATCCATAGTGGAAAGATCGAATCGTCGGTACATTTCATCTAAAAATTTAAATTATTAACAATATTCTCATTATTTTATAAGTGAATTTATGAGTTAATATATACTTATTAAGAAAAAAAGTTTAAGACATAAATTGAACACTATTTTTCATTTTTGCTATTTTAGTTATTCTTAGACTATTCTTGAAAATATAAATAATTCAAAACAGAATCATAAATATGAGCAATTAAGTCTCTTGAATATGGAAACTAGTTCGCAGGTCATTGCCCCAATGGATGGAAGGAACAACACTGAGCTTTATCCCGAGGGAAGCTAATAAATTAAACTTGTTGATATCCTAGCAGAATATGGAAGAAAATCTCATGATCAAAATCTATGCACTAACAAACCTTATATTTTTGAAGCATATCCGTCTTTTGTTACTAATGTTCTCGATAGAGGTGCGAATGGAACTGTTTCACTTAGATCAGTTCCTTTTTGTATCAATGATTCTTAAATATAAATAAAATTCTTCCGTTATAAACACACACAAAAACTCTCTTGAAATTATCACCTATAAAAGTAAATGAGAGGAAAAAATGAAAGATTTTTTTACAACCACTCTTTTGAACTTTAAACGATACATTTATTTTGAATTACGAAAAAAAGTCTGAAAACCTACATGATATAAAATGGAGGAACACGAGAGGGAGTTGCTTGGATGGTAAGCACCCTCACTTCCAACCCAAAGATTGCGAGTTTGAGTCACCAAGGGAGCAAAAAGAGGTGGAAGCTCCTAGGGAGGATTAATATATATATATATATATGAAATGGAGGAAGTAATGTATTTTTATTATTAAATTATGTTTTCAATACATCCTTTATGTGTCATTTGTGATCCAGTTTTTTTTCTTTTTTACAAGTCAAAATCACAAAAATCCTTTTGAAATAATAAGTGATCTATAATGAAATTCTAACTTAAAACCTTTATCTGGTCTACAATATTGTGTGTGTATTTGTAAAAAAAAAGAAGGTATAACTTACATAAATTTCATAGTGTAAACTGTAAAGAGTAAATTACATCATATCTCTATTCTTTTTCTAATTACAATAATTTCTTAAAATTTGTACCTTCCGGATACATAAGTCACCATTCGGATACATTAATTCACCATCCGTATACATTAATTCTAATATAAGAGGAATCTTTTTGTTACTCTAAAAAGGGAATAAAATCTGAAAATTAATTAAATCCCATAAATTACACTTACGTTTCTTCTTACTCTCAATCATATAGAGGCAAATCCTATCAGAACGAAGAAATTCAAAATTTCAAATTGCTCTCCCCATTAACGAAGAAACCTTTCATATTTGATTAAAAAACTTTTGTCGAAATTTTGGTAAGCGAGGTGAGTTATGAAGGATAAAAAAGTGATGAAATTATTGTTGGACAAACGATTTCCTTATAAATCTTTAAGTTCATCGGATATCCTTTCAATTTTGATTCAAGATTATAAAAAAAATTTGAGATTCAAGATTTTTCCTTCTTCCAGATGATCGAAGATCCTTTCAATTTTGATTTAAAATTGTCAATTTTTTTTGAGAAGATACATCATAAATATCTTTGCTACTTAGCATTTTACTATTTATTTATCTTGTTTAAATTGATAAATATTGTATTTATACCAGATACATTAAATAAATAATTTTTGCCCATAATATGTTAGATTTAAAATTGATACATTACCGTGTGGTAATTGCTATGTAATTGATACCTTTAGTACAAATTCGAATTTACGTATCATATCTAAAAAAATTAGTGCATGATACATTACTATTTATATATCTAGTTTAAATTGATAAGTATTGTTTAATACTAGATATATTAAATAAGTAATTG